CTGAGAAATCATTCGCGGTGGTTAACGCCATTTGCTCTTTCCTATCTAGAGAGCGTTAGTCATTTGGGGAAAAGCCTATGGCAATCTTGTTAGAAGAATAGTTAGAAATTCAATGAATGCCACGAAACAAAAAAATACTGATTTGTTTTTGCAAAATAATCATCTTACAAATTTCCAAAAACTATATGGTGCCTCAAAGGATATAGAAGTTGAAGAACAGTTATTGATTGAACCTTTTTTTTGATTAAATTAACCAAAACTGAGGAGTAACGAAATGTGGATTAATGTTTAAACGTAGCTGGAAAATTTAATAATTGAAATCCATTTTCTAAATTAGAATTTGATCCAATTTTTCATGACCTCAGCGCTTTTGCTGTTAACTAGTTGAGTTTACATTTCTTTTAACAAACGAAATTAACTGACCTTTAGATCAAACATCAAAACACGAAAAACAAAACTTGAGCGTGAATAAATTTCATGAAAAAAATCATAACGACCTTTATAAGATACTTTACTACGTTTATTGATTCTTGAAAACGTATACACCTGGCATCGAACCATTTCTGGCACAATGAGTGCATGCAGCAATGCACGTTAATTCCGCGGAAATATATCTCATGCTTTTTGAAATCTCAAAAACGAAACCTAGCCATAGCAATGAGCGGTTTCTCTTGGAAAAAAACGATCTCAAGATAAATAAAAACATAATCTATTTCAAGGTCAAAAACTACAAGTTTGAAATTTAAAAGGACAAAATTACCTAGATGGCACCATACATGAATGCACTTTGGTGTATGAGTATGAATGCACTTCTTTTGTAATTAGAGCCTCAATACTTATACAAGAGTCTGAATTCATCGACTCTTAAAAAGCCTTCTCAGTATTGCAGCAGCGGTAAAAAAAGTTTCGAACGAGTAGGAGTTATAAACGGAGAAAATTTTTAAGCCGTGAAATATTCAAATTTACTTCATTAGATCTTAACTGGATCTTCGTGCAGCGCTTTCCTCCGCAATGGAAAGTTAAAACAAAGGTAAACAATTCGCAAAACTGTTTGACGCAAAATTTGTGAAGTTTCTAGATAAGTTATTTTAAGGGATATATATTTCCTTTTCGATAGAAACAAATCAAATTAGTATGTAAAAGCGGCTAGAAAACTAAAAGGGTTTCAATCCAAACCGTTTATTTTGGATGTGCCACTAATATGAGTTCAATTTCCCCCTGCAGGGTTAAATTTCCAATTTGGGGCCAGAAATGTTTTCTTGGAGTTGAATTTTTCTAGTTTGCAAGCCACTCCAAAATGTTGGGGTATTGAATTGTATTTCGTTGCATAATTTTGGATGCGCATCAAAATTTTGTGGCTTAAATAAGTCGCGCTATATGCGAATAATTGAATCTGTTCGAGATTCCTATACAAATTAGTGTATTATTTTTTTGTTAAAGCTTTCTGGTAGTTTTTATACAAAGGGCAATATAATTAAATAGAAAGATATACAGTAGGGAGTCAAAAAATAAAACATATAGACACAAAAAAAAATAACAAAAAGTTGTTATTTTTTTAAAGTTTTTTCAACTTCTGAATTTCGGCGAAACCACTTCAAAGTTTTTTGAACAACTTTTTATGATTGGCGCATTTTTCGGAAAACTGGCCCAATAAAAAAAAACTGGGTTGACAAGTAAATTTATTTTATTCCGCTGGAAAATCGAAGTCATTCGTGTTTTTCAAGCAATTCGATTTTTCCTACTGTAAGAGCGTTAGTTTCCTTGCATTCAACAAATTAATTTGAATTGAACTAAAAAAAATCCATTTAAAGTCAAATCTAAAAACTTCAAATTTCAACATAAACAAACTTAGAGAGAGACCTTCTGGAAAAACACAACCTCAATAAACGATATCTCACTTTATCTGAGCTATCACTTGAAAATGCACGAATGAGTAATGATTTATAGCTCAAGTAACGGTAAAACATAGGAAAATAAATTTGTGGGTAAGGTTTTATGGAAATCTTGTCAGTATTTACCTAATTTAATCTGAGAAACGAAAATACTCAGACCAGTTTTTCTCGAGACTGGGATAACTTTCGAAAAAATTTCAAGAACCCGTATTACGGCTGAAAGGGGTTCAACATGATACGACAGTTGATCATCTTCAACTTTTGTTTTGAGGTAGTCAAAATTGGCAGAAAAAAACCAGACCATTCGACATAGTTCTTTTCAATCACGAAGAGGGTAGTCGGATAAACGTGTCATAACGGTAATTGATTAAGAACATGGTAAAACAATTCTGCACCCACTTTGCCCCGTTGATACTATAGGTTGTATTCATTCAAGAAAAAGGTTGTATTCCAGCATTAACCAAAAAAATCCCGAAAAAAATTAACATGAACAAAAGGTTGATGAAAAAACACGACCCGAAAATCAGGATTAACAGCACATTGAACAGATAAAGAAAGTTTCCCAAAAATTTAAAGAAGAAACAGAGCCAACAGACAGTTAGCAGAGATCCATTCAAAATAAAATAAATGGCCTCAAAGTCTTTAGAATTTCAGGAACAATTAATGATTGACACTTTTTTTTGATTAATTAACCAATTGAGAAACAAGGATTAATGAGTAAACTTTTTATTCCGCAAGCAAATTTCACACAGAGGCGAAGCTGAGCTACTAAATTGTCACTAAATTATCAAGCTACTAAATTGTCAGTGAGATGGAAATATTTAAGAGAAAAAAAAATAGAATTACCAAAAGTTCGATCACAGAAAAACAGACGACAAACACAACAACTAGCAATAAGCACACTTTTTGTATTTCCCGAGCGTTCACTAAGCCAGCAACACGTGGATAGACGCCAATAGATCCGAAAACCAAAAATGCTGAAGGAAATGGTTGTCATAAAGAAAAGAAAAGTCAACATTTTTTTTGAAATACGAAAAATTCAATCTCTGAAAAACAGAGAGAAAACTAGCCACTAAAATAAAACAAAATTTAAGTATTTTTTAAGCGTTCACTAAGTTGATAAGTCGTAGTTAGAAGCCAATCAATCCAAAAAAAATGTCACGGGAAATTGTTCTCATAAAAAAATTCTGAGCGATTAAAAAGTTTGAACTTCTAAGCTTTATACAACAAGCCAAGCAAATTTATTTTAAACATGAATAATCACTTCTTATCCTTATGCCGATGCAAAATAAGCTCACTAAGCGGACAAAACAAGAGCCGAAATCATTTAAAAATGACAAAACGATCTCGAAACAGAAACCTAGTCATAGCGATGGGCGGCTTCTCTTGGAAAAATGATCTCGAGATGAAAAAATAAATGCCTGGGTAAGTAGATAACATTTTGTTGATATTATCTTTTTCAAGCTGAAAAACTTCAAGTTTAAATTTGAGAATGAAAAAATTAATTAGATAGCACCACCAAATTTGTTCACAGATAAAACATTATATACAAACAGCCCATTTATACCTAATTAATTAAGCCGAGCAGTTTAAAGTTCTTTTTGAGTCTATATTCAAACTTTCGCTCCAGACCCGTGATGACAAATTCTAAAAGCTGATCAGAGATGAACTATCTGCTCCATTCGCGGTAGTTTCAGATGACAGGTAAGGATGCTTTTGCAAGATGAAATTATATTTGATAATTGAGTGATCTGCTATTAGACTCTTGAACAACACCACTTTGTTATGAACAGCTTCACTCTCTATTCTCTGCACGGCCAATTCGTCGGTGTCAGTAATCGATATTCTATAACACGTTCCTGGATGCTGGAGGTATAAAAACTTTGACTGTAGTTTGCTATCCAACAATTTGTGATATTTTTCAACTTCGGCGGCATCATTCCGTCTTATAAGCCCGACTAGATTTAAAGGCGTTGGGTTGGTTTCGTCCAAACTCTTGATATCTGTTATAAATTGCGCCAATGTTGCCATGCTAGCTCGTGGAACTAAATCACCGTTATTTACAAATATATGTACACTATCCAGAACATTTTTTGCCAGCTGTTCCGATGATTTATAGACAGGAGGCGGAGCCAACGCTACGCATTTTACATCCCTGTCCTTTAAAATCCCACTCCAAAAGGTGTCAAGGTAAAACCTCAAAGTCATCAAAACTGCGGTGCCTCCGCCTAAAGAGTGACCTGTCAGAACCACTCCATATTGCGGGTACTTTTCTAATGCTTTCATGAAGCCACCTTTAAAGTTTTTTTCCATAGCCAACACTGCGGCTATAATACCACTATGCGCGATTCCGTCACAGAAGGGTTCATCATCACAAAGCATATCGGTAACTGCGTCCTCGATTGAAAAGGTGCCTCGAATACAAATCACAAATTTCTTCAAAGTATGATCAACTGTGAGAGTGAATTTAGGCAAGTTTATATCGATTGATTCGCTCAAAACTTCGCCCGGTTGCCGAGTCAAAAACCCGTGAGCTACAATATCGGTTGGAAGACAACCGTAAACTTCTTTGATCCTCGAAATTGCCAGTGGCATACTTTGGTTCAGCTCCGGCCAGATGTCATACACCTTTGAAGAGTAGCTCGCACATTGACGCACTAGTTCAATCGGCATACTTTCCGGAAGGTCGAAAGTTGCGTACGAACTTTTGCGCCATTCCACGATTTCGTACAATTCGTGGCATTTCCACAAGAGAGTGGCACAAAGAGGCAACGAGGTCTTGAATTCTTGATTGGCTTCCTTCTCTGTTTTCTCAGAGTTCAAAACTTTGACTGCTAGTTGATAGATTTTCTGACAAGAAAACACAAGATTTTTCGTTTCTGAGGGCACAGAATCAAGAATATTAAGACCCCAGTCCTTAACAAACTTCATAGCAAAATCCATACTAATAAAAACTACATAACTGTATCTGAATCAAAACAAAAACTTGCGTAAGTAACAAAAGAAAGGCAATTCAAACTTCGACTCAAATGTTCACTTTAACAGAAGAAAAACGGCGTAGAAATTAAATTAGTAAGAACAAAAATATGAATTCGATTATTCATCACATCGGAAACATTGATAGGCATTACAAAAGTAAAGTTTTCGCAAAACAACACTAATTTTCGATGCACTAGAAAAAAATCTTCATTTATCGAAAACTTATTTGATCGCAAATCGGATTTCTTTAACAGAATATCCATCATCTTAACAAGCTACTTCTATTGTTCAGCAAATGGGAATATTCGCTGAAAAAATTTGCCTAGCAACGAAACTCCTCCTTGCACTTGAGGGGGAAATCAATAAAGAGATCCTTTAAATCCTAAAGATCAAGATATTACAAACCTTTTATACGTTTTACTCAGAGACAGAAAACAATTTATAGTCACTTCAAAAAGTTCATGCATTTCGGCGAGGTAGAAATTCAAAATCACTTCTTCTTTTTCGCAGCTGAAGCAGCACCTGCACCATTCGGTGCCCTTGTTCTCTTTTTAGTATCGACACCACCATTTCTCACCTTATTCTCATTTTCAATCTCTCTCTCCACCATATTAATCAAAGTGTTGCATCGTTTCTGAAGTTCAGCTGAATTTCTCGACTTCAAAAACCAGTTGAATCTGAACTGGGGCGCATTTCTGATTGCTGTTCTCAATTCATCGTAGGCGGATTCCTTGTCAAAACCGAGTTTGTAAAGCATGCAGAGGAGAAAGCGGTCTTCTTCTTCGTTATACTGTTTGCCCTTGGCTGCTCCGTAGACTACTTTGAGTTGGTAGAACGGGAACTTGTACTTGTTCATTTTGGTGTCGAGTGCTTTTTTGACCGATTCTTTCCTCTGAATTTTAGCCTCGCCTCTGAAATAAATCATTTATTAGCTATAAAATCTATCTGCATGAAAATGACAGTGCAGAATTTGCTACAGTGGACAGAAACGCATTCAGATCTTGTTCTCAAGAATGTACACATAGTAACAAAAATTAAATAAATAGTCAGAACTTAAATATTAAACAGAAGGTTGAAGATAATGTAACAGAACAAGGAAACCGAAAAAAAAACAATTGATAGAAATTTTTGAACATATTTAAACTTTCTTTCGAGTTGTGAAAACTATACCAGATTAAAGCAATTTGAATTTCAAAAATGGCTTATCACTGACACTTTTTTATTAACCCATATTGACATAATTACTCCAAATCAAACAGAGGCAAAGCTGCGATTCGCAAACCCAAGGGACAAAAACAGCTTTTTGAAGTGAAATTAAAAATTAGAAAAAAGCCTCTAATCAGAAGAAAATTGCTGTGACAGATTCGAAACTGTAACATAGAGACCAGAAGTCTCACGATCTCGCATCTTCGCCACGGCCCGTTGAAAATTTTTTAACACTAGCCACCAATGATGCAGTTATAGATACTAATAAACTTCCAATGATAAGCAGCACAAATGGCCCCAAATATTAAAAAATATTCCGTTACTTTCGTTACGATAGTCAGAACAAAAACGAAAGCTTAGGAATCTCACCTTCTTCTCTCTGCGCCACGGACGCTTCACTAACGTCAAACATTAGCCACCAATAAAGCAGAGAACAGATGCTATGAAATTTCCAAAGCTACAGATGTGATTATAGCAAAAGTGCCATCAAATGAGCACTTTTTTCGAGCTAAGTTGGAACAAAAAGCTGCACAGTACCATCACATTGTGCTCCAAAAGTGTTAAAAAACGGATCAGTGGGTGAATTTTATTCCACTAGAAAATCTAAAAATTAAAAACCCCTTTCGAAACTAGAAATCAATCACGTTTTTTGCGCCATTTCTGCTTTCATAATTGGCGCAAACGAACTTGAATTGAACTCGGAAAGGGCATTTATACCTACGTGTAATCATATATACATTAAGAAGTATGATGCACTTCTATAGTTATTGGAGCATTTTAAGATCAATAAAAAACCATCAAGACCTATTTGTCTTTAGTAAGTTCATTGACACGTATAAACTCACTAAAACCATGAAAAAAATCTAAAAAACTTTTTTCAAATTTTTGGAGTGAGCCAGTAACCAGTCTTGAATTGACTCGGGAAATAAAGAGTAATTGAACTTGGTTGTACGGCTCGTTTTAAATCAACAAATTAAAACATATTCAAGAAACCCTCAATCCCAAAAAAAAAATCCAAAATTGATATGTTCTAATAAAACTTATCGAGCTTGAGAAAACTAAACCAATTGGTTTCAAGTGCTTTCACCAATACGCGCAACCACTTACCTTCCCAAATTTACCTTTCAATTTGAGCCATTATTTTGTCGTGGTCTTGCAACTCATCCTTCCTCTCCCAAAACACCTTAGCATAGTCGCTCACTTCCTCCGGCGTCTTTCCCTCTACCTCCTGACAAATATTGGCCAGATCCTTCCGACCATACTTCTCGTTAGCCTTCACAAACTGTTGGAAGTCTCTTTTGAACCAGTTTTTGAATCCTTCATCCAAGTAAAACTGCTTTTCGTGTTCTTCGTCTTCTGTGAGAGGAACAGCGCTGTCTACTTTCTCCTGCTCCTCTTGTTGTTTCATCTCTGCATTCGGCAATGTTGGATTCAGTGGTACTTTGTATCCCAAATTCTTCCGATAAATGTACACTTCCTTGTCTAGGATTTCGAACAATCTTGGAGGGTAAAACTGAAAGTCTTGAAGATGGGGTTGTTTCGGAGGCCTCGGGGCTTTCGGAATGGATTTATCGCCTGTTTGCAGTTGCTGCTTGAAATAGTCCGATACCTGATAGTTGGCTTTGCCTTTTCGCTCTCGCTTTGGTGGCTCAATCCATCTCAAACCTACGTGTTCTTTCTGTTTATCTCTCCAATTCTCGCCCTCAAACAAATAAATAGATCTCGCTTCTCCGTCTTCTGTATTGCTAGCATCAAAATTATCAATCGAAAAATTACGCAATTGCCCGTCAGCTATTTTGGACAACTTTTCGTCGAATTCGGACTGTTTCTTCTCGGAATGTGATAAAATCATATCGATGTCTTCGTCAGTAATTTCGGAATCTTTGCTTTTAAAAATGTGATCTGCCCCGTGCCTAATAATAGTCATCATCTCGTCTTTGTTTAGAGACTTGCTGGCTTCAACAAGTCGGCCTTGTTGGATCACTAGATTGTCTAGCTTTAATTTCATCTGTGCTCGTTCCACAATTCGTTCCTCAACCGTGTTTTCAGTGATGAGTCGGAACACTCTGACTTGTTTAGTTTGGCCAATTCTGTGAGCTCGGTCCATAGCTTGTAAGTCAGCCTTGAAATGAAATGAAGCGTGAACAATTTACAGTACCACTAAAAAGGTACTTACTACAAACGGCTTGAGGTGAAAAGCAAAAAACAGCCAGACTATGGTTGCCAGTAATTTCAAAATTGCTTTTTAGTTATTTTCCGTTTAAGGATGAAATGTTTTACTGGCTTGACATATTCAACTTCAGTCTCCAGAAAAAAAGCTACTGAAGTTTTCAAATACAATTCTCGTTATTCACTATTGAAAGGCCGCCCAATAATAATAATTTAATTGCATTTTTACGACTATAGAACAAATAATTTTCTTTGACCTCTATTTTTGCATCTGTGCACTGCTTTTATGGAACTTTTAGTTCCTCGTCCAAAATATATACCTGAGGGTTCCAGTCGCTGTCATAAATTATCACGACGTCGGCAGTCGCCAAGTTGATTCCCAAACCTCCCGCTCTGGTGCTGAGGATGAAAGCAAACAGCTCACTGCCCGGCTTGTTGTACTCGTTGATCATTTTCTGCCGATCAACATGGTCTGTGTTTCCATCCAGCCTGCAGTACTTGTAGCCAGTGAACCAGAAATAATCTTCTAGGATGTCCAGCATTCGTGTCATCTGGGAGAAGATTAGAACTCTGGAGCCTTGTTCCTTCAGCTTTGGCAGTAGTTTATTCAGGACTGTCATCTTGCCACAGTTGTCGTACAAGTGTCGGTCAGTCGTATAGGGAGGGCCTGGCTCAGCTCCTAGAAAAATTGATATCTTTAAATTATTTTTTAAATAAAATCATGACATACTATGTACGTAAAACTTTCAGAAACACCAAGACGATAGATGTTTAAGCAGACAAAACTGACCATCGAAGAGGTAGGGATGATTGCAACACTTCCTCAACTGCATCAGAATATTAGCTAGTCTCAGTTTGTCCATCCGGCCAGCTCCATTCACAATGTCTATGTCCTTCATTAGAATCTTGGTGTACCACTCCCGCTGCATAGCAGCCAGTCCCACATATATTTTCAGCTCCTTCTTCGGCAACAGACTCTTCTCCACGTCTGCCTTGATTCTTCTCAGCAGAAAGGGGCGCAGTACTGTATGCAGTCTTAAACATAACGAGTTTGAAAAGATCAAAAAGCAATGGCAAATTTAATTCATTCTAGATGAAAAACTTACAATTGTTGACAAGACGTTTGTTATTGACACAAGAATTACTGGCAGAAGTTCAGAACAATAAATCTTTTGGTTCATTTAAAGGATTTCGAGAGGTTATGTGACCCAATCAAAACTCAAAATGAACCGCTTCATGAAAGAAAGAACAATACATATACACTCCATTACATCGGAGTAAAAGTTTTTTTTTTTAGATAAACAATATAATCATCGCACCTGACTGCGATGTCTTGGTTTCCCATGACGTCATTCTCCTGGAACCACTCATCGAAGTCCTCCGAGGAGTTGAACACGTCCGGGAGCAGGAAGTTGAGCAGAGCCCACAATTCATGGAGATTGTTCTGGAGAGGAGTTCCAGTGAGGAGGAGTCTACTTTGAGATCGCAACTCACGTACAAATATTGACAGTTTGGACTGCTCATTCTTGATTCTGTGAGCTTCGTCTAGAAATCATTAGTAACAATAAAGACATATATGTGAACACAATTAACTTATTCGATGCCTGATGAAAAAGCTACAATGGACCATGTAGACAATTTCTACCTTAAGCAAACAAAGTGAACGATCACTCCCTAGAACTAGACGGAAAATTCAGGGTGAAAAATAAAGCATCACGTCAGCATACATTAAATTAATGCCAAATTTTTGGCAGCAATTAAATGACTTCAACAAGTAAATGATCCAACTGAATTCCTTTAGGGGGCAAATTCTCCACTTTGCCCGATACGGCTAGTGTTTATGGTAAAAAAAATATGGACACATTTTGAAACAAGAAATATAAATTCTGGTCTGAGACTAATTGGATGCTAAAATGAACAAGACTGCTCGTATCAGGGCAAAGCCCTGAATGATCCGACTGCCTTTTAAGGTTTATGGAGCAGCAGTAATAACATAGAAAATTAAATGAAATAAAATTTTAAAAAAATTTTCTAAAATTTGCAATTTTTTATGAAAATCAACCCCCCACACGCCATATACAGTACAAAAAGACAAATTTCGTTCCTTGTAACAAATCAATTCTGGCAAATAAGCTTCGTTCAACCAATTTAGAACGATTTATGAGACGGATTAAATCTCCGCTTACGCGTTAATAGCGCGAATTATGAGTTAGATTTTGAGTGTATAACTCATAGAGTAATTTCGGATAGGGTACACCGTCTGCTCGTCACGCTATCTTATTTTCGGCCGGATAGATTCGTGCAACTTCTTAGTCTAATACCGATCCTAATCTTACTCTTATACTATCTAGTCTCAGGTTGTTTAACTAGTCTCTGCTAGGCTCAATAGATCTAGGGTATACTGGTTTATTGCGGCTGCTGAAGCACTCGGGAGAGTCCAACTAATTTCTAAGTTAAATTCAAATCTCTCTGGTGCTGAAATTACAAGTAACTTCAGCACTTACAAATAAGTGGGTTGTTAGTTAGATGGATCATGATTGGTTAATATTAAATACTTTACATTGGTAAAATATCTAATTTATCCAATCATAAAATGTAGTTTAGATCAGGTTCCACCCATCCGGGTTTTACAGAGTTTTTTAGAATAGTTCTTCGGTTAATTTGAAGGATGGATGATGGACGTTGGTATTTGGCGAACATCATATTTTTCTTCCGTTTCTTCTTTGTTAAAGAAGTTCCAGGAAGCTGGAGTTAGGGACATAAGACGTTGTGTCTTCTAGTGACAACGACTAAGTCTCTGCAACAAAATCAATTCTGATTTCAGAATGGTTGGCTATGTCAGGTTTTTCTGTTCTTCGTGGAGAACTTCTTTTGTGTCTGATCTAGTTTAGGAATGGCGTGGAGATTGTGCGTGGAGGGGATGCCTGGTTACTCGGATCTGTACGTATACTTGAACATCGAGGTGGTCATTGGTCTAGTTCAATGAAGTCCTTTTCTGCGAAGTAGAGTCGTACTCTAAATCCTTTGAGTTGTGATTGTGAGCGGCATATTGATTGTAGTTGGCCATTCTTTCTCGAGTGTAGTGAGGTCGTTTTGTCTTTGGATGTTCGTCCTTGGTGTTGTATTCTGATCTATGTATTGCATAATGTAATTTACATTTTATAAAACTTTTATTAGTTTAATATTTTTTAATTATGATTTTAGTTAGTTGTTTTCACAAAAGCTTTTTGTTTTAGTTCAGTTATTTTGAAGAGTTACTCACCCTTGAGTAGCTCTTATTAAAAATAGGAGTGTGGTCACAAAGCGTGGATGTAGCGCGGTGGGTTAGGCCGGCTATAGAGCATGCTCAGGACGTCCTTCCTGGTGGGTTAGGCCAGGAGTGGGAGTATGATTGCATGCGGTTTTTGTGAGAGGTCCTGTTATGTGACAACGTTTTATGTTGGGTTTGTTGTGGTTTTTCTTATGTTTTGTTGGTTGTGTCCTTTTTTCAAAAATCAAATTGTTTGTGGTATGGGTTTGTCTTTCGACTTTTTTGTGTTTTATTATTTCTTTCTTAGACTTTATAATAGTCTTCAAAAGAATAAATTATCCAGTTTTAAACTGGGTTAATCCGGTTTGGGTACCGTTGGTTTCCTTTTCTTAGTCATGCTGTTATTCTATGATTTGTGGTATTTAGTAAGCTGCGTTGGTTAGTTTTGTTTAGTATATGATTCCTTTCCAACCGGGTTAAAGGAAAGTTTGAAACATGTTATCTTATGTTAGAGTTGTTGAGTGTGAAAACTTGAAACTGAAATTCATTATTTTAAACAATTCTTCGTGGGCGAGCTGTGCGAGTGTGGATAGAATTTCTGTGCGAATGAATGAAAATATCAAAAGGTTAGTACTGCATTTGCATTTTATTAATTTACTGCATAGAATTTGGAAATTTACTGCTAGTTATGGGGGAATTTTAAGTTACAAATTTTCATCATAATTAGATTTACTGCTTGTGGGGAAAATTTTATAAATGAATTTACTGCATTGGTATTAAATTGATAAATTTATAAGTGTAAGAGATTAATAGAATTTTTGAAAATTGTTTGATGAAATTTGCGATTTTTATTTGTCTTTTGTGGTTTTTGTAGGTGATTGTCGGATGAAGGCTAAAAATCTAAAGAAAACATGGATAAAGAATGGTGAGTTTTTAATATTTTAATTAGTTAGTAATATTCATTTAATTCATACTTACCTGTTAGTCGTCGGGGAAGATGTCGTGGATGAGATCTGAAGTTGTGAGTAGTTTAGCTAAGATGCGGATGATGTTTTTAGTCTGAAGTAGTGGCCAAAGCAATTGAAGTGCCTTAATGGTGGTTAGTTCTTCAGTGCCAACTGCAAACTCATAAGGTGTGTTTTGGATTAGGTTATATAATTTGTGATTGAATTTAATGTTATGGATGAATTCTAATATTGGGATTTCTATAGGCTGTACAAACTCGTGCGGGATAAGGAAGGGTCGGGATTCTTCGGCGTTGAAGGTCTTGGTGATGGGACAGAAGATGTACATTTGGGTTATGGGGTCATAATTACGAAGAATACCATGGAGGTTAGTGTCTTTAATACAATATGTGAAATTTAGGAAAAATGGTGAAGTGTATTTTGAATTAATGAATTGAAAACGATGGTGTGGTTGTCTAGAGGGTGTGTGTAGGTCAAAGTGATTTTGGATGAAGCGATAATAACTATATGTGTGGGTTTGTTTAGTGCGCAACATAATATCGTGTGAGCAGTGCAAATCTCTTTCGTGTGGTGCAAGGAAATGAAAAGTTAGTGAAAATATTTGGAAGCGTTCTTTAAAACTTTCGTATGCTTGTGTGTCTGTTAGTGCTTCTGAAATAATGTGATCAAACTTTCGGTCGAAGATGTTTAGTGTAAATATATATGGTGTCTTGATGAAAAATTTCTCGGTGATTTGTGGATTAGCGAAGCGATCGACGTCTAAGAATTGATCTTGGTTAGCTCTGATGATGTTGTGATCATAGTATTCGAGTGTATATTCGTTAGCTCTAGGTGCAGTGTGTGTTTTTAGTGATTTTTTATATCCAACGTAAGTAAATTGTCTAGCGGTTAGTGGTGTAGTGAGTCGATATAGCATGTCCTTATTTCGCTCCATATCGATGTGAGTGCTAGATAAAGGTAAGCAAAGAGGGTTAGTAAAATGATAATATGAGGTCCAAGAGAGAGTGGGCATTAAAACGTATTCATCTACAAAGTTGCGTGTTTCGTTAGTGTCGTGGGGGGTGTTTAAGGTGTATTGTGGGAATGAGGGTAAGGTGATGGCTAAAAATTCTTTTGTGTTAGTATGCTTGGGGTGGTTGATGTATTTACGGGCTGTTCCTGGTTTTGCTGGGAAAGGATGGTTGGGGAACTTTCTTTTAAAAGTGCGATAAGCTCTATTAGTGTTGAGTGAAGATTCAGTTGATGTGGATGACGGTGCTAATGATTCAGTATAATTTGAAGAGGGTGTAGGGGTAGGGGGTTGGATGAATTTATTGTGGAGGAGATTTGGTTTATTGTTGGGGTATGGAGGTGGTAGGGTTGTTGTTGAAGGGTAATAAAATTATCTAGCTCTGGGGAGATTCGGGGGGTGTCTGGAGAATGAGATGATTGGTCAGAATGATATGAGGAGTAGGTTGGGGTAACTTGGGAAGCATAAGAGGGTGTGGAAGTGATTGGGTCAGGGTTATTGGATAATATGGGTTGAAAAGGGGGTTGAGAAAAATTAGAAGAGTTATGAAAATTATTGGATGGGGATGGTTCTGAGTCGGCAAATTCATCGGGGGTTTCAATATTCGGGTTATTGAGTTGTGAGATGGAGTATAAAACTGAGATGTGTGAATTAGTGTCGGAATTCATGCCTGATGTTACATTACTAGATGGAAAATCGGGTGGCGGAAAAGCAAAAAGTGGTATTATTGGGATTGGAGAGGTAAGATTGGTTGGGTGGGAATTTGATCGGTGTAGTGATCCAAGTTGGCGGCTCATCGTGGGCTAAAAAAATTATTATTTTGAGACTGAAATGCGGTGGTATGGGGTTGTTCAATAATTTGTTCATAAGTATTATCATCTTGTGACTGGTGTGTCATTATATGTTGGATGGGACTTTGTGATGTGGTGAGTCGAAAATTTGGATTATGTGTGATTGCTAAATTTCGAAAATTTCGTGGGACTAGGGATAGTGGATGGTTATTTGGTAGGGGTGGTAATTGTGGTGCCGTTGGCGTTATGTCTACATTGTTATGTTCTTCGTCATATGTGTTTTGTCGTGTTGCTATTTTTGTGTTATATTCTTTTATTTGTGCGTCTAAAAGAATTTTATTTATAGATGTAGAAAAAATTCCAAAAAATCCTGCAAAGAGTATGCGTGCTACGCTTGCTTGTCTATTTACTTGTGTGTGTATAGCACATGTGTTGTAAATTCCTTTTAAAAGTGAGAAAAGAAATCCAATAAAGTTAAACATTGCGTATAAAATAGTCAATTTTTCTAAGATGTAGTAGGGCCATCCTAG